ATTTTTTATATTTAGGATATCTTACCCAAAGCAAAGGTTGGAGGGGTCACCACACAGGTGATGCTATCCATCATTGCTGGGGAGCCCAGTGCTTCCTAGAGGTTTCCCTGGATTTCACGTGGCAGGTTGTCATGATTTAATGGCATGGTTAGCTAAGGGAAGGTGAATCAGGGCTGTGATTTTTATTTGCTTATATTCACAACAAAAGCACTCTGGATTTACTTGGGTTTTTTTTTTCCTGCTTTCCTAAAAGTGAGTGGAAGCCTGGCAGGTGAGCCCCCAGGGCTGAGCCTTCACGAGGCAGCCAGAGGAGCAGGGAGGAGCATTAGATTGTTTTTTAGTCACTGTGATCAGGGGAATTGTTCTCCTGATCCACAAGAAGCCCTGGGAAGTGCTCTGTCACCCTTTGCTGATCCCAGCACACACCTCTAGATCTCCCCCAGGCCACACAAACCCCATTTCCAAGTGGCACATCAGGCAGGACCTCCCAGGCAGGAGGTGGGGGGAGGCAAAGCAGCCACAACCTTTCCTTCCCACTGGATCAGATAATATCAACAATTCCTAACCTGCTTAACTCCCAGAAAACCATTGCCCTTTGCTGTTGGCAGCAGAACCTGTACAGAGCTGGCAAGGAAACAGTCCCTGAATAAAGAATTGCAGCAACCCCTGGCATGAAGGTGCTGTGATTATATCCAGCTAAAATGAGTCACCTCGTGCTGCTGGAGTGGAGTGCTCTGAAGAAACTCTCTCTTTGACACAATCTTTCCTTAAAAGTCAGATCTTTCCTCTGGGAAAGGGGAAGTCTTGACTTAGGCTGACCCACCTTGGTTTTGGCTAAAGAAAGACATTTTTCCCTGGCTGTACAAAACGCTCCGTGACTTTCACTCAGAACCTCCCTGAGAACATTTTTTAAAAAAAACATTATTTCAGTCATTCTAATCAGGCAGCACGAGTCCTGGTCCCAAAAAAACTATTTTATTGCTGTAGCCTGATAAAATGCCTGTCCTTTCATTCAGATACATCTTCCTCACTGTAACAAATGACGCTGAGGGTTTCACAGGTCCAGGGGAGACGCTCAAGTCTTGCCCGTGTTCTTGCACTGTCATCTGACAGCAATTTATGTTACTGCAGGATTTGCCTTATTGAAACCACTTGTGGAATGGGAGTTTACAGAGATTCATGCCCAGAGGATGACTCCTTGCTCGGTGATGATGTATGAAGCAATCTCACTCAAAATCCTTGAAGGCAGAGGGAATTTGGTGTGAGGAGCTGCACCACAAATCTTGAAGCAGAGAAATCTTGACTTAGTGATGTTCTGTGGGTTCCCTGGACAAGCACATAGAAAAATACCATTTTATTATGAATGAACACAACCAAGCACACTGTAAACTTTCACTGACAGGAAATTTGCTGACTGCTTGGTTCACACAGGTTTTGCACCTGGCCAGATGTGTTGCTTAGGTGTGGCTTTGCACTTGGCAGTTAATTTTTTTCTCTTCCTTGTAATAGTTGCTTTTAAATCATCATACATCATTGCATACTCAGCATCTGAAGTAACACATCTCAAAAACCTGCTTACCCGTAAATTTTAAATTTCTAATTATTGCCAGTGGCTGTGCTTGTAAGAATTTGTGGCTGATACCTATAATTTCTTCATAAGCTGCTAAGAATGCTTTATACAAATAGTTGGAGCCATAAACCTGCTGAGAATTGCTTTGTTAGGCAAGAAATTCTTCAGAAAGTCAAAGTTGCTTCTCTTCTTTTTTGTCAGAATGGGCCATTCAAAAGTGAACTTGGTAAGACATGAACTGCCCTTTGATGGGAGAAAGGCACCTCCATAACTGAGGGAACTGAATTCTCTCTTGTTTCAGGTGTTCACTGGGCACAAAATGGGAGGACAATGTGGATATGAACGGGCTAAAGCTGTCCTGCAGTTGTCCTGTGACAACACAGCCCTGCCAGGGACTGCCAAGAGGAATATCCAGAAAAAGGTGAGAAATACATTCTTTCCAATAGTGCTAAGAAAGTTTTTCTTAATCCTATAAAAATATGTAAAACCCCTTGCCTAGTTCCCAAGGCAGACTGGAGGTAGAAGGATGTGAGGAATGGAAATGGGTGGCATGAAGAACTCCCTACTGAATAGGAGTGCAGAGCATGGAAGCACAGAGCCCTGGCCCAGGCTGGGCTGCTACAGCCCTTCCAGTTTGGTTGTGCAGATGGAAGAAGGTCTAATTTCAGCAGATCACTCACTCTGGGCCTAAGTTTCCCCAGCTGTTGGTAGGGATAATCCAGCCCAGGCATTGCATGCAGTGCTTTGCTAAGATGAAATAGTTGTGTGCAGGAGGAGTTATAGTGTTATAAGTGTCATAACATCAACTTTCATTTTTATGTGAAGACCATGACCAGCTGTTGAGTTTTAGTCCTGCAGAATTCTCACTGCTTTGGTGTACAACCCATGAACTGTAAGGCACAGACCCTGGTTTTTCCCAGATAAATGTCAAAGCTCTATATCTGCCAAGAGAAAAGCCAGTAAATGGTGTCTGAAGTAGCTATTAATCTTTAGAATTAGTTGCTCCAAGTCCAGATTTCAAGTATATGAAACATCAAAAAATGAAATTAAATTAGGGAGATTTATTGTGAACAGCTGTTTCACGCAGGTTTGGGTTCCAGCAAGAGCCCAGACAAGTGAAATATCAGCACAAAGACATAAATTAAGTAGGAATACTCTAAGGAAAAATCTTGTTTATTCTGTGCAAGCGGCCATGTCATTTGTCACCTTCCAGCACAGGAGTCAGTACATGGGTGGGAGCTCCTGGTTGTGCCTGAGAGGTGCTTTATCAAAGTACAGGTATTAATATTGCAAAAAACAGGGGAGATTGGTTTTTAAAAGTAATTGAAAGCATCCTGTTGTGTCAGACAAAGTTCTCTGAGCAACAAAAGCCAAAGTCACAGGTTGAAGTCTTACGGCAGTGATATGTTCTTCTCTGGATGTACTGAAGCTCTGTGGGTGTGCCTTTCACTAATTCCAGCACAGCTGCTGATTTCAGATGGGTTTTGGATGAGATTTAGGTGGAGATGACAGTGCCCTGCAGGTGCTGAGCTCTGTCTCCATCCCACGGTCACACTTCAGCCACTAAGGAGTCACTTTGCCATAGGCTGACCCATGAGAAGACCTAAGAGAAGACAGCCTGAGGGAAATGACCTGTTCAAAGGAAAATTTGGATAAATACTCTTTTAAATGTGACTGCAGTTCTGGCAGAGAGGAGAACTGGTAGGGTGGTACTGGCAGGGACCTGGAGCTGTGCTTTCTGCTGAGGCAATCTCAGCACCCTGGTGGAGGGTCACGAAGCCTCTGTGGCACAAAAGGCTCTCCAGCCCAAATGCACACTCCATGTCCCCTTCCATGCCTGAAATAACTGTTCCATGGGGTCACCTCAAATCCTGTCAGTTCCCCAAAACCCTGCTCAGACCTTAGGGAATAACTGACATGTCATTGCAGGAGCAACCCAAGGATCAAGCAGCGATGAAGATTGCACAGACACAGAGCGATGTACAGTCATTGTATCTCCGTGGGATCTCCTCTCAGACACTTGCCATCAGGACTCCTTAGGGCATCCACAAGCCATGTACCTGTTCTGCTGTCCCACTGGGGCCTCCTTGTACTGCTGCAGCTGTGAGGGAGATGACCCTCCCTCAGTTTAACTCTTCATTCTCTTTCCCCACCCCTCTACTTCCCCCACTCAACAGTAAACCCTGCTTTGCTTTACTTCCTAACTAAATTCCCTGGCATGAGTTGAACAGGTTTTGTTGCTAATAAGCTTTTTATAGTGCAGAGATACAGACAGAACTCTCTCAAAGCACAGGTGCTGCTGGAAACCCTGTAAACACCTGAACTATAAATAAACCAAACATATTCCCTTAAATGCAGAGCTTTTCAAACCACTCTTCACTCTCTTTCCAAGTTCTCAACACCATATTCTGGAGAGGAAATCCTTTGGCTACCACCTACATGCAGCTATTGACACTTGGGATCAGAGTGTCTTGGATCAGAGTGTCTTCCATATACTTTCAGGTATATGGAAGAATTGGAAGAATTTTTTTGTGTTTGTCCACAGGGTGTAACAGTCCTCTGTAGAATCATTTTAGAGTAAATATAAAATAAATCCAATGGATCCAGCAAGCCTCCACTCTGCTCAGCAGGACTGCATAGAGTAAACTGAAGGCAAGCAGGGCCTGGTGCCTGTATCTCCACTGGCTTTGTGGTTCCATTTCTTCCTTCATTCAGACAGAGGCTGGACAAGCTGCTGGAGGAGAAATTCAGAGGGAACTATAAAATAAACAGCCCCTACATTTGGCTCAGCAAGCCCTGAACAACACTCCTGAAGGTTTACATATAAAGGTATATACATTCATACGTACATATATACACACAGGAGTAACAGTTGCCTTGTTCTCATACTTTCTCTTCAGCACCTGCCTCTGCCTCCATCCCAGGCAGGATGCTGGGATGCTTCCAGCCTGACTTCATGAGTCCATTCTTGTCCTTCAGACACGTGGGTGCCTCAGTGTCCATGGAGTTATCTGAAACCCCACGTCCACTCCTTCCGTCTCTCCCATTGTCAGGCACAGCCTGACTCATGTCCCCTTCCTTGCTTTCTATTTGGTCATGTCATTTCTAAACCACCTTCCTTCCCTATTCCCCACCCATGCACATGGATTTGTTTTTTCATAGTGGCCACATCTTCCCCTTCTTCAAAACCGTTCGCAGAGAGCTAACGTCAAGTTGGTCTAATTAAAGCCCCTTAAAGCACGTTTATCGTGTCTGTAAGTCATTTCCTTCCAGCCACCTCCAGATGAAGTTATCACTTTGTCAAAACATGATGCAAACCCACGGCTCGGGGCATGGTGGGAAGCACACAAAAGGAGAGCCCGGGCCCTCGGCAAGTTTGGGTGAGCTGTTTGCTAAAAGCTGCCGAGCCCACCCCTCCAAGACCTTTATTTCCCCCTGCGGCAGCTGTCATCTGATCCCACGCTTTGGCTTTGAATGGGGCTCTCTGAGGATGCCAGATGTCGGGAACAAAGGTCTAAAAATAATCTTTCCAAGTAATCTTCCCATCTATCATTCAAGGAGAGCATGTGCTTTGTGTGAACATGTGAGCCGAGAACCTGATCTAACTTAAAGAAGTTCAACAGCAGCTCCTGACTTCTGCCTGTGGGCTCCTTTTTTTTTTTAATTTTTTTTTTTTTTTCCCCAGAAGCTGCGCAGGGAAAAGCTGCTCTCGGCAGCGCTCAGCCCTCGCTCTCCTCCCTCCCCGGCTCCCTCCCTCCTTGCCAAGACTCCGAACCGCCTGGATCCCGAGAGCCGGGCTCCTTGCTGGATCTCTCCTCGGGAAGATGCGTTCCGGGGTGCTGCCGAAGATGCATTTCTGTAAGAAGATCTTCGCTGCAGCCCTGTGTGTCTTAGTTTTGCTGCCGGATTCGGGCGGTGCAAGGACCCTCTGGAAGCGCGCTCTGCATCTGAAAATGACGGAGAAATACGATGTGAGTAAGGCTGGGGGGATTTTAGGGGGAGCCGGGTGTGCTCCCCGTGAAAGGGGAGTTTTCCTTACATGTGTGTATCGTTTTAGAATAAGGAGTGTTTGGATTCGCAGGCTGGCTCTTCATAGAAGGGAATCATTAAGTTTGCCAGGCTGGAGGGAACTTTTGCCACCTAGCTGCTGCGGTGGGAAGCTTGGGAAGCACGCTGGGAGAAGGGAGAGGGTATTGCTGTGGCATCGTCACCGCTTTTCCAAAAAAACTTCCCAGGGCAGCAAGGGAAGCGTGGCTGGGGAGAAAAGGGATGCAAAACCTGCGTGGCTGGGGATAGATTTCGTGGAAAGAAGATAATGTGATTTATTGCTTAGAGTGGGGAGGAGCGTTCCCTACCCAGGTGCTCCAGTGCCTTTTGGGGTAATTTTGGGTAAATGTCTCCAGCTCCCAGTGATAATGTGAGTACAGGGATGGTGGTATTGCTCATGGTTTTGTAAATATTGGAGCACAGAGACTTCCATGCCCATCACCTTAAAGGGTGCAGGGAGATGATGTGAGAAATCCACTCCCGTGGCTGTGCCTTGCCTGGCACGTTCAGAGGGAGCAGAGCTCCCCTCTGCTGCCCACAGCCTGGCAGACACTCAGTGACACCATCTGTCCCTGCCCACTTTTGGCAGACTTTGTAGGATTCTGAGCTTCCAAATCTGCAGTGGTACTTGGAGCAGCAGTGCTGGATTTGGAATTGAAGCAGCAACCAGTTAGCGTAAGAAGAGGCAATGGTGGTGCTAGGTTTTGTTCTGGCGTGTCTGGGCCAAAAGACTGCTTAGAAATGGCCATGGGGAAAATTGAAATTAAAAAAAAAATAAAAATGAAAAAAAATTGTTTGACAGCTTGACTTTCAAGACCTGCTGTATATAAAGGGGAAAAAAGAATCTGAAATTTTTACTTCATCCACTAAATTCCCCTTTTAAGCCAGAACTGACCCAAGGCTTCTACCCCTTGTATCACTTCAGTGGAAGCCCCAGCCAGTCAGGTCTGATTGCATCTTCCAGAATTGCTTGTGTATAAACAGCATCTTGGTGTCACATGTGGATTTCTCCATCAATTTTCCCCAGCTTTTAATTTAAAAAGGATGTTTTCATGCCCATGACTTCTAGAATGATGTTTGGGGATGGCTACATTTGGTTTGTGCAATTGCTGACTCAGAAGTGTGACACCCCTGATGAATGAACTGAAATACTGCCTTGATTCCTTGAAATATTGCAGAAAACATGGTGTTAATATTTGAAAGGCACCTCAGTATTTGGCAAGAAATTATCTTCATTGTATCCATTCTTGGAGACAGAGTATCATCTGGTTTACACTTCAATTGAAATATGGTGCTGTGGAGAGCTGTGTTTCCTGCAAAATTACTCACTGGAAAGTGTATTTATTCGTATGTTCTTCTGCCATATTTTGATGTGAATCTCAAATTCAATAGGAACTAAGGAGTAAATGACCCAGAGAGATAGTACAGGAGTAGGACAGGAATTTACATGTTGATCTTCAGATAAGGAGCCCTGTAGAGGCAAAGCCTGCTCCCCTCAGGATATATCCTCCTCTTTCAACCTGCAGCTCCTCAAAGGACTGTTTTTCCTGGCAGACATGAATCCAGGTGCTACTGATCTGGCAAGCTCAGCTAGAATTGCTTATATTGACAGGAACATTTGTCTAGGGGAAACAGAAAATGCTTTTTTTTCCCCCCTTCTGCTCAAACCCTTGTAAGGAGGGAGGTGTCTGGTCTCCATCTTCTTACCCACCAAAAGCATGTTTTGGCAGCCCCTCTGCTTTCTCAGAGAGATGCTTTCTGTCCTACCAAACGCTCTGTGTTCCCTGCAGTTGGAGAATCAGAGGCTGGAGGTGGAAGAGCTGATTTGTGAGTCACTTGGATAGAGGGATAACAGATGGAGGTGCTTTCAGCAGCATGGAGCCATATGGGAGATGGGCCACAGACACCCCCGTGGGACCCCTGGCAGGACACAGGCCTGAGGGGAGGGGGCAGGGAGAGGCAGGAAGAGTTTTGTTGTCTGAGTCCAAAATATCTGAGTCCACAGCAGGAGGAATGTATCACAAAAGTGATGGATGCAGAATGAGGAGCAGGTGTGGTGAGGAGGAGCTGGCCAGGAGAATTTCATCAGGTGCCTGGCAAGGGTGTTGGTTGGCAAGGAGGGGTCAAGTGGGAATGGAAGGAAGAAAGAGGGACATCAGTGAGAAGAAAAACCTGGCAGTCACAGTGGGATGAAGGAAGAGAAGGAGGGCTGGGCTTCCAGCTTTTATGATCTGGGCTTCCAGGTTTTTAGCTAATCCGTGTATTTTACAGCCAGAGGGACACTTATCAAGTTTAGTGATTTGCAGCTGCTGTTCTGCAGCCCCCCCAGAGTCCATAGGCTGTTCCCAAAGGACAGAGGGAGGCAGCTACCTCAGAGTGGGCTTCAATTCATTATCAAGGCACCCACGTGTCCACTGGGAAAAATAACCAGTCTGGATTTTATTCCATTGTCAACTGCATTAAGTGTTTGAGAAAAATTTCCAGCCTTCTTTTAAAGTTTTCCAGAAATGAAGAATTCTTCACAGCTGCTGGTAATGCTCTTCCAACAATTTATTTACCCTCCAGCTAGCTGTCATGAATCAATACTGAGGTCAGCACACCTCCTGGGAGATTTCTGTCCCAAGTATCCTCAGAGCAACATATGAGCAGAGCAGCCTCAGCCTCCCCTTTGGGACCTGCAGGCACACAAGTCTTGCACAAAATTCCCTGCTTTCCAGTCCTTTAGTCACTATTGTGCATCTTCTTTAACTTTGCAACAATTTTCCAGTACTGCAAACACCAGCACCAAAATGACTAATCCAGAGTCAGTAGCAGGAGAATATTATTCCTGCTGTTTTGGTCTTATCCTTCAGATTATTTAACCTGCCTTCAGTCTGATATTTCCAACTTTGATCACCAATGATCTGTGATTTTCCAGGTCTTTAATAGAAATACTGGAGGATTCTAAATTCCTCCTGGCTGTGTATTTTTTTCCAGAGGAAAGGTGGTTTATGGCCAGTGTTTGGGAATACCTGCCAGGGACAGACCTGGTGATGGGAGGCTGAAATAAAGCCCACGTGTTGTCTTGGGGGTGTCCATGCAGAATATGAATTAACAGAGAACTGTGCTTTGACACAAGCTCAGGGATCTGTTTCAGGCACAAATAATAGAACAGATCTGGGATTTTTTGGAGGCAAATTGTGATTCCACTGAGGTTTTTCCTCATCTTTGCTGACCTTCAGGTTTCCTCAGCTGAACTCTGAATGTTTCCCCTTACTTCATTTCTGGATATTATCATTAAAATGATTTAATAAGTTTCCCTGGGAAACTGCAATTTTCCTCCTGCATTGAAAAATATTTGTAAAGGAAGAAATTTTTATTGTTGTCACAATCTACAAAAAAAAAAATAAATCTGACTCTGCTCAGAGCCAAACTGTGAATCCTGGAGAGCTTTTAAAAAACCTTGTGACCCAAACCTGGGGACATACTTAACCAGGTTATTTTGGGAGTGAGGGAATCCTGTTTTCCTTTGGGATGACTTATGCACATATAAACCAGGGGCACTGGTTTTATTAGATTAAAAGTGCAAAATATTTTTTGCCCATGAGGTTTTTAAAGAAATGGGTTCTGAGCAATAGGTGACCAGAGAAAATGGGCAGGGAGGTCAGGAGGTCCAAAGTTATTTGGCTGGAGCTGTTATATTGTTCCCAAACGGAAATTTCATTCATGGAGCCAGCTGTTCATCGCAATTTTGGCTTCTTGGTTTCTGAATCATCTGTGAATCAACTGCAGTAATTGTTTGAGGGTTTTTTTCATGTGACCATTATTTGCCAGTATTATTTTGGTCAAATTTCCATCTGCAGCTGACCTTTCAAATAGAATAGTAAACTGTGACCTTCTAGGATGAACAGTTCCTCCAACAGAGAAACCTGTTCAATGTTTGGAACTGCACAGATTTACTGTTAAATGCTCCCTTATATCCCAGAATTACACTTGTTCCAAGCATTTTCTCTATTCAAAATCCAACAACACCAAAAAAATGTGTATTTTCAATATCTTCCATTCAGACATGTTATTTCAAAGCTGGAGTGTTTGCAGCTTTTGAGGAATGGAATCATGTGAGAGCTTGCACCTTCAGCATGGAAAACACCATCAAAATTAGGAAATCTTTTTTTTTTTTTTTTAATCTATTTTATGGTTCAAACAGCCTATCAGTTCCAGGGAAAAGGACCTCTCAAAAGGGCTTTTGAGCAGTTTCTTGGTGACTGAATGGAAACAGTCGGACTTCATAATCTTACAAGTCTTTTCCAACCTTAATGATTCTATGAAACAACTAAGAAAAAAGCTAAGAAAATTGTTTATTGATATTAGGAACGGGGCAGGAGGCAGTCATTCACGGAAATATTAGGAATTCTCTGTCTCTCACACACAGACACACACACATTCTCTACATTAGACTATCCCAAGGGAGTGAAGAAGATCTTGTTTTCACCGTTATGAATCATTAATTGCTGCTTGGATGCACAGCAGAGCCCCTGTGGACCAGATCAATCCCCAGGCCTGCTGGGGCCTCTCCTAGGATGGTTTTTTGGAGAATACATATGGGAACATGCTATTTTGCAAAGGCCCATGTGCTCCAAAGGAGCCATTGGGAGGTTTCAGCACAAGGAGCCCATTGAGGAGATAGATGTTACCAGGGATATTTGTTCCATGTCCCATTTGTAAACATAACCCCAAAACAATTCAGTGCCATCACTTCCACTGCTTTGCTATCAAAGTGTTTTGTGTCCTCATCATGAGGATGCCTGGAGTCTTTCTTTCTGCTTCCCAGACAAGTCTAAAAGGCTTTTAAGGATTTATTTTTAACCTCCTAATTTTCATTGCAATGATCTCAATTACAAAATGAGTTCCACACAATAATTTAGTGGTTTGGTGTTTCCAAAGCAGAGTGCAGTAGACAGCTGGAGGAGCCAAGTGGTTAATTCCCCTCTCTAGCAAATACTTGAAAAACCACTTTGAAAATCTTTCCTGTGCTTCAGTTGATGCCTTAAAATCTACATTATATAAGATTTTAGTATAGCTTGTTAGTACTTTTAGCTTGCTAAGTACCTTTGTGCAGGATTTCTGGAAGTGCTGTTTGGCATTCTTCGTTAAGAATTTCAACAAGGGATTTTAAGGGGGTGAAGAGTTTTCTACCTGTAAAATATACTGAGAAACAGATGTAACACCTGATATAACCAGTCTAGAGCTACTTAGAAGCCTTGAAACCATTCCAGAAGGTGTGATACTGTGCCAAAGACCAAGAAACAAGATGAGGAAGATGAAGATAAGGGGTCCTTGGGACCACCGATTCAAATTCAGGAGGCGTGTCTGAGGGTGGGATGATGGGATGGACAGTTTTGGAAGCGGGTGTAACAGATGAGGTAGTGTCCAAATATTGTAATTAGATGACAGTATAAAGTTGTAGCAACTATTGGAAAACATTCCTGCTGCAAGAAACGAGCGCCTTTTGCTTTCTGATACCCAACAAGAGCCTTAGAGAGCTATTTTCCGGCTATTTTCAGGCCTCACAGCTGACGGGGATGTTCGGTGTCCACCCTTATGCCAAACCTGATTTCCTTTTCTTCTCTTTGCAAGGATTATGAGTACCCTCTTCATTCTCACAGTTCCCACTACCAGAAGAACGACCGCTGTCCCCCCCCGCCGCAGACCCTCCCCGAGCGCGCCTGCGAGGTGCCGAGCTGCCGCTCCGACTCCGAGTGCGAGCGGCACAAACGCTGCTGCTACAACGGCTGCATCTACGCCTGCCTGGAGTCTGTGCAGCCCCCACCAGGTAGAGTGGTGCCCGATGCCTTAAAAATTAATGTAGTGTAAGGTTTTGGTACAGCTCCTTGGCAATTTTAGCTCGCGGCGCGAGATTTCTAGAAACGCTGTTTAACGTTCCTCATCAGGGATTTCGGTAGGCAGAAGGTTTTAGGAAGGTGAAGAGCTGCTTGTCTGTAGAAGTGTGTAAGGAAGAGCCATGACAGAGTCACATCACTCGATATAAGTAATCAAAACTACCCAGAGGCCTCGAAGCCGTTCCCAGGAGGACAGAGATGACAAGGAAGACAAAGATAAAGATGAAGGGGTGGTCGCTTTGGGACCACCGACTCAAATTCGGGAGGTGTGTCAGGGGTGTGGTGAAGGTGGTAGTGTAGGAGGGGTGGTTTGGGAAGTGGGTGTAACGGATTATGTAATGTCTAGATATTATGATATAAAAACTGTAGAACCTCTGTGATTCAGGGATGTACTTTGGAAATGATTCTCACGCTCCCCACGTACTGTAAATAAAGGAGTGCTTTTTGCTTTATAATACTCCAAGGAGTTTTAGAGAGTTATTTTTTAGCTTTTTAGGCATCAGGCCCCTAAACAAACTGAGAGAGAAACATGCAGAACTGGTGGTGGTCATCCCTACGTGTGTTGGGTGGGAGGCCTGGTTTGGGTGTGAGCTGAGGATGAAGCTTCAGTTCCATACTTCTGATTTCTGAGGTGATTGCTGAGTCAAAGAATCACCTAAGGCCAGCCAGTGTTGCAAATTTCCATCAGCTTGGATTGTAGAAGTCACTCATGGCTAGTTCTTTTCCTGGTATGACATATTCCATTCCACATTCCTGGAAGTGTTCAAGGCCAGGCTGGGTGGGGCTTGGAGCAACCTGATCTAGAGAGATGTGTCCCTGCCTACGGCAGGGGTTTGGAATGAGATGATCTTTAAGGTCCTTTCCAACCCAAACAATTCTATAATTGTGTGTTTTCCATATTCTTGGAATGGGCTGCCCAGGGAGATGGTGGAGTCACCACCCCTGGAAGTACTTAAAAAGAGACTGGACGTGGCACTTACTGCCATGGTCTGGTTGAAAAGGTGGTGTTGGGTCAAAGGTTGGACTCGATGATCTCAGAGGTCTTTTCCAACCTAGTTGATTCTGTGATTCTATTCAGGAAAATAAGGAATCCCAATCCGAATTAGTGCTCACAGCAGTGAGGCAGCCATCTCATCATTCCCCTTGCCATGGGAATGGAGGATGGGAAGCAACAGCTGTTTTAGCCTTCATGGTACCAGGCTCTTGTGGCCCTGGATAATATCGTCAACTCTCTTGCCCCTGGGACAACAAGAGCATGAATACAAGTCAAAATCAAATCCATCCTACAAGAGCCTAGCAGCTTTATCACAGGCTCTTGGAGGAAATCCATGACTTTTCCATAACCCTGTGCTCCATGCCTGCTCCATCTCGACTCTGTGGTTTCTTGTTTCTGTCTTCCACAGTCTTAGACTGGTTGGTGCAGCCCAAACCCCGCTGGCTGGGAGGAAATGGGTGGCTTTTGGATGGCCCAGAGGAAGTCTTACAAGGTACAGTACATTTCACTGCCTTCTCTGTGATATCAGTAATTATACAAAGGCACTGGACAAGATATTCCTCATGCACGGGGCTTTCCAGGGATGCTGGTCTGCTGGAGCTGCTGGAATTTGTCTGGAGTTTCCATAGGAATAACACTGTGTGGTGCTGGGGGCTGGTTTCTGGTGCAGTAAATAAATTCTCTTTATGGGTATGGATTATCCATCAGAGCACTAGGAATGCTCCAGGGAAGTGGACTTGTAACCATACTTCAAATAATTAGAAATATATCTTTCTTTTAGAAAAAGGCTTTGTCATCATTTTCTGCCAGCTTCCTGATAGACTGTGGGTGCACTTGGATTAGGAGATCCTTTAATCCAGAGTGGCCTCATCACACAGATGCCTTGGGCTGGGGCTGTGGCTCCTGGATCTGGAGGCTGCCTTGGACAGGAGCTCTGGCAAACTGCTGCAGAGTTGTGTCAAGCTGACATGGAGCTGGAGCAGCCAAGCTTGGGGGCTGCTAATGAGATTGGGCTTCTCAGGTTAATTCCATAGGGAAAGGTCTTTTAATTAATGTTTTCTCAATGCCTCAAGTTGAAACAGAGTGCAGTGGTGGGAAGAGAGATTTTCTTCTATGAGTCATTCCCATATGTATGAATACCTGAAATTCCTGATTTTTTCATGAAAAAGGTATTCCAGCTTTTGATCAACTTTAGTCAGACACAGGTAGTGCCAATAAATTACCCTCTTTGGTCTTACACAGATGGTATCAGACTCACCGAGCCTCGACTCTCATCTATTATGGAAACTCCTCATTCTTGAAGAGAAAATTCTGCCTCCAGCTCATTGGAGCTGCACTGCTAGAAATAAGACAAAATAGGTTCCTCCTCATCCATCCTTGTCATGCTTATATTATTTGTTCTTATCTTAACACCTTCATCTCAGCTTCAGGGGGTAATTAGGGAAATAAGAGCCATCAGTCACAGCATGAGAATTACAGCAGAGGCCCTTGAAATTAAAACCCTGCAAATGAAAGGGTGGAGTGTCCCTGCATAGTCTGTACATTTAATGGCCACAAAAACTGCCTGGGCCCTGCTTTACTTTCCCATTCTGCTCTGCACTTGCTGGATATCCAGGGTCAGGGAGATTAAAGCCTGGGTTTGGGACAGGGGGTGGCACTGCCTTACCCCATGAGTCACACCTGAGGTTTAGATTCCCCAGGTAAAGGGTGTGGAGCACAGAGCAGCACACTGCCAGCTTCCTGGTCACGTTTTCCTAATCCCTCACCCAGCCCAAAGCCTGGCTGGAGCAGACTCATCCCTGCTGGGAGGGAATAGCTGCATTGAGTGGGAGCAGGGTGGGCAGTGGTGGGTGGTCTCCAGCACCCTCCAGCCTCACACAGACCCTCCCACAGGCTGTGGGAGGCTGTTGTTGCAGGTAATGGGGCTGACCTGCACTCCCTGTGTCAGGATACACATCAGCTTTGGTGCAAGGTGTGAACTGGGTCACCTGCCCTGACAGGATTCCTTGGAGGTGTCAGCCCCATGGTAGTCCAGCATGGAAGGAGTTTGAGGTCCTGCCTGGCAGGAGGTGCAGGAGGAGGGGCTGTGTTGGCACATTTTGGTTCCCCCTGGGTGTTAAAGCCCTGGTTTGTGACCTGCAGGCTTCTCTTGCAGCCGAGGCCTGCAGCACCACCGAGGATGGGGATGAGCCCCTGCACTGCCCCACGGGCTACGAGTGCCACATCATCAACCCGGGCAACACGGCCGAGGGCATCCCAAACAGGGGCCAGTGCATCAAACTCCGTGGAAACCCAGGTCAGTGGGCTGGAAATCCCCCTCCCTCTCTTCAGTGCACACTGATGTTTGCATGAGAGAACAAGAAAGGAAGGGAGCAGGACACCAGGACACCAGTGTCCTCTGGCATTGTGTGAGCAGAGCAAGTAGTGATCTGCAGGTGCCATTACTGCACAGCACAAAAAATAGAAATATTTATGTATTACTGCACACTTAAGTCAGAAATATGAGTTTCAAATTCCAGTTTTGACTTCTGATTTTACTTTCTGTGTCCAAAATATTATTCCCTTTATTCTGCTGACACGTTTGTGCAAGAGAGGATCTTACGTAGGCCAAGGGATTTTCCAGGAAAGCTCAAAACATGTCTGGGTATGTGTAACTTCACTGAAGAGTAGAACATATGTCTGCAGTGGGCTACAAGTCACCTCAGTGTACACACTTGAGGCACCAGTTTTGCCTTTTTTTCTCTGCAAAAACAGGGGAAGCATCAAATCAGATTTTTGAGCTGATTCCATAACAGAACAAGAGTTTTGATCATTTCTTTTGTAACTTCTCCTTTATTAAGATCCATAGTAACCAATACAATATAGAACTACAGGTGTCCTAGACATGAAGGATTTCTAAGAGCTTAAATAATTATACAAATGGCAAACAGAACAACCTAGCTGGAACTTGAATTATGTAAAATACTAATACATGGCCTGAAATGTTACCCAAATTTTATTTCTTTTGGGAAAGCCTGTGATTCCTTGACTTGTAGCTACCAAAAATATTATAACATGCAAGTGGCCAGCAATTCCCACTCCTGTGGCAAGCAAGTTGTGTCCACATAGCTCAACAATCTAAACAGTTTTATAAGAATTTATAGCAGCCCACAGTACTCCAGCTACAGAGACCTTTTACTGTCCTCATTGTGAGGTTATTATTTCCATATCTACAACTTCTCTCTGCTGTACAAAAAAGGCCAGAGTTTAACACAAAGAATGAAAGCTGCCTGGGTATATTTTCATTATGTACCCTCTTTTTCAGATGGACACAACCTGAGGCATAAGTATTACAAGGAATATTTTGGTAAGCTGCTGGCATGAAATGTTTGCTATTATAAAGCTAAATAGGTCTTGCAATGCTTACAAGGAATCTGCTATTTATGAAATGAAAGTTTGCATGTAGCAAAAAGAGATTCTTTAGCCTCAACTCTCTATGCCTTGGGCAGAAGATCTTGTTTTAAGATCTGCAGGGACCAAGGTGTGGATTCTGGAGAATCAGAATCTCCGGCTGTGATGGAATGTGTTAAATGGTGCAGCTTCTTGCCAGAGCCTCCCACCCAGGGGGTGGGAAACACACAATCCAATAACGTTTTGTTATTTTTAAGTATATTTTTGGAGCTTTGCTCATGGCCCAGGACTCTGTGCAGCTGAACACAGAACTCTTGTCAAAAGCTTTAGCCACTGTCCTGCATCATGGTATGTGACAAGAGATGAGTGAGCCCAGGGAATCAGTCCCTTGGTGTGACCTGCAGCCATAAGGGGTGCCAGGTCCTTCTCACAAATTGATAGATCTGTGTCCCAAAGAAAGCAGGAGCATCTTCCAGGTGATCTCTTTCCTCATGGCTTCAAAGCTCCTGCTTTCTGCTAACTCTTGGATCTAGAGGGGGACAGTCACATCAGATTGGAAGTGACATTCAGGTATAACTAGAGAACACCTTTGGTATGATAAGATTTACAAACAGCCACATTTGGCCAGTTTGGCTGATAAAACTAGGAAAGGATTTCCCTTCCTCTCTTCCAGTGTGGGCAGTCACAGCTCTCCAAGAGAACTGCTAAATAATGAGACCAGTAGAACTGTACTGCTGAGAGGATCTTGAGGAAACATTTAACACAGACTAACTTAAAATCTTATTTTGCTGGTATTTCCTTTACAGGGAGCAATTCCAACAATGTGGTTGGCTATGTGAAAAACCAGCAGAAGCATTTGGGCTAATCCAAGGTGTGCCTGGGTAAGTGTCCTGTGAATAAAGGGGGAGCTGGGTGGAAATAGTTGGTGCTCGGTATGAAATTATTTAAAGTAATGGTTGTTTGAGGGTGAAATCACCTCTCATCAAAATGCTGGTGCAAGTTCAGCACCTTAAAACTCTGTACAGGTGGACGTCTCAGCTCCATGAAACATTCTAATTTCACAAGATGCACCCCATTTCTTTGAAGAACCTTTGCCTTGTGGGTGTTTAGAGGATGGAGCGGGATGAGGATGAAAAATAAATGCTGCAAAATGTGGGCCCTAAGTCTTTAAACTTTCTGTTTAAGGACTTCTAATGTAGGTGTAACTGCTCCTGCAGGACAATTCAAAAACCTATTTATTCTGGACTGACTCCAGTAAGGGTCAGTTTTGCAAATACTTCAGCACAGAGGTGATTTTGAGGGGTAGTTTCATGTGTGTGAACAGTTGGGTCGACCAGTGTGACCCACTCACTTGAGTACATTTATCTGGCCAGAGCCAAGCCAACAGCAAAAGCTCCAACCATCTTATCAGGCTTGAATTAGGAAAGAATGAAAATACTTATTATACCAAAGGTTGTGTCCCAAGATGGTTTTCTAAACATTTTCAGCTTCACTTTAAAACTAACTTGAGCTTAGCTGGGAGTTATGAAAACAAAGCAGCCCAGTGTGTCCCTCTGTACCCACGTCAGGCTGGCTGTTAAGATTACTCACCTACTTAAGGACAAGTTCTGTGCAAACATCCCAGGATGGATAAATATTTTAATTCCTCTTTTTTTTTTCTTTGTTTGATTTTCACCCAGCTGGATTCCTCTGTCAAGGAATGCTTTACCCAGCAGTTTTCTGTTTCGGAAGAACTCTGGTCCCAAATCTCCACGAGCACATCTGCCCATCACTGATAAAAGACTTCAAGGAACAGGATGAGTCTAAATTTTAACCTATCAGGAGGGGGAGAAATGTGATCCCCCGAAGGAAACCACACTGTTTTTATCAGCTGCCCTTCTCCAAATGGAATGCAAATGCCTCCAAGGGATCCCTGTAAGCCCCAGTGCCGTTGTCAGGCTGCTGGCACAGAGCTTGCCCTTTATGTGCTTGTTGTGTCACCAATTCAGATTTCATGACCATGAACGAAACTCAATTTTAAAACAATGAAGTGACATCCAATTTTTACCTAATTATCATATCTAAGTTGCATTAAAATAGGTAAGACTAGGGAGGCTCTCTGGATCAAATCCAGTGCCTGCCTCTCTTCAACAACTGCTTTAAATAAGCCTTTTTATAAGCTTAAAATTCAGAGAAACCTGCAAGTTTCTTCTTTTCCTATTTATATCTATGTTTTACCAGGTTTGACATCCACTCTACAAGCCTAAACTTGAAGTCTTAAGAATTTGAGGAAGTCTGAGCCAGGAGCAAAACAGTTTTATAATTTCTTTTTTTAAGTTACCTTCCTTTAGCTTCTCAGTCTGGTAAGCTGCAGATCAAGAGCTAATAACAGAACAGATTTCTTTCTACAATATCTAAGCAGCCACATGTGTGTACCAGGCTTTGTAAGTTGCTGTTTTTAGCCAGCACTGATAATAGTCACAAAATATGTGGGTTTGTACCTGCAAAACCTCAGCAAAAGGGCTGAAGTCTGGATTATTTGTTGAATGGACTAGAAAAGCAAATTCAGGATAAATTTGTGTGATGAAAAGGATTGTCTGGCAGATGGGCCACTGCTCCTTATAAGTACTGTACCTTTAGTTTGACTTCCATAAATCCTTAAGATCAAGTTATTCGTATTTGGGCCTTTCAGCTTCTTTTAGCTGTTTAGCACTGCAAAATGGAAAACACATTTTCTATTAATATTTTCCTGTTCTGTGGCATTTCTAAAGGGACATTTGCATTTATTGTGACAAATCTGCCAGAATTGCTGGGCAGAAGAAGCCATGTTTCCTCCCTGTTTTATTACATGTCTCCATCTGCGTGCATGAAATTAGCATTTTAATTTGCAGAGTAGTAGCAGTGTGTACAAATACCCAAATCACAAATGCAAGTGCCTGCTTCCACTCACAAAACACAGGAGGTTTGTTTTTTTTCTACTCACAAAGTAGTTTAAGCCAAAGCCAAGATTCCTATAAAACACTTTGCATGTAACATTTGCAGCTGGAGAGATGGAAGATGCCAAGCTGCTCTTCTGTTTCCTATCATGAACAGGCACAGCCCTCAGTGCTTTACAGAGCACAGGAACAGCTGAAGGGCTTCACATTTTCCTAAATATCTTCCTTTGTTGATCTCCATTCACTTCTTTGAACCTTTTTTAAGGTGTTAGATGTTAAATGCAACACAATATTCGGACAGAGGTATTTCTAGAATTTTATCAAATACAACTTCTTAATTCCTGCTCATCACTTCATGTATATCTTAATTCCTGCTCAAAGAGAGCAGTCATAGAACTGTAGAATGATGGAATGGTTTGGGTTGGGAGGGAGCTTAAAGCTCATTTAGTTCCATCCCCCTGTCATGAACAGGGATACCACCGACTAGATCAGGTTGCTCAGGGCCCCATCCACACTTGATAGTTCCAATCTCAATTTAGGCCAGAAACTTGCTATTTATCTTACTGCAGCCTTGCTCCTCAGTGTTGCTCAGTGAAATGGATTGATTTTGTTCAGCATTTTTTCAGGAAAAAATCAAATTCCAATTAAATGGGCAAAGCCCTTCAGTCATCACTGCTAAGCCCCAAAGACGAAATATCAAATTGTTCTATTTTAAACTAAAAAATTCAGTGTCTAAAACCTTGTGAGGATCTAGTTGAAAAAGCCTGTGTTGAGCATTAACAAATTTCAAAGATTAAAACTTCAAATCTCCACCTAGTCTTTCAAAGCAGCCAAAAATATGCTTAATTTGAGTGGACACAGTCACTTCGGTGTCTGCTTTTTTTGTAGCTGCAGAAGCACATTCCTGACCACCTGGGTGGGATGGTGCAGGTGTTTTCTGCTTGCAAAAGGGATTTTTAAAAAAGGAAAATTGACAAATCAGTAATTTGTTGGTGAATTTGTTTACTGGGTGTTATCAAAGCCATCACCCTTTCTCGTGGTGCTACAATTCTTGTTGGTTTTTTTTTCATTTTGATTCAAGTTATTAATTGTCAAGCTCAGCAACAAAAGCCACAGAAGAGACTTGTCCAAGTGCTGTGTTTTCAACACTGACATCCATCACACACTGAAATGAAAACACAGACCAAGTGGGTTGTCCTCAGCTTGTCTTCTCTCCAAAGACAAATGTTTTAACAGCAGTTAAATCAGACCTGTGCAGCACAGTAGGAAATCACTGTTGTAGGTTGTTTTTAACGTTTCCATGCACACTTTACAGCGTGTTTGGTGCTATAATAAACTTGCCAGGTGTCACTGTGTGCTAGCAATGCCCAGGGCCCCCCTGATCTTTGGGGATCTGGGCAGCCCCAGGCAGCTCCTCCCTGGTTTGTGCCCCCCGTGCTCGGACGTGTCCCGGCTCTGCCGCTTCGGTGCTCAATAAAAAGTGACCAGTCTATTTTTCAACCCTGCCTGGTTTCACTTGGGTCTTCTTGGCATACACTGAGCTTCAAATGATGAAAAAATGGACAAATATTTTATATTTTAGTTGTTGGGGGAGGCTCAGATAGCAGAGGCGCAAGGAGGCAGAAGTCATTCTGTCCACTGGAAGGGAGGGGACAGACCCCCAAAACACACCCACCAGCCCTGTCCCCTCTCAGAGGGGCCACCTTTGTAGGTCAGACCCTCAGCTCTTGTCACCTGCATGCCTACTGCCGAAGAGGATGGACAAGACTGTAAAGAGGCTGGAGATGATGCCCCAAGGAGAAGGTGACCCTTTGGTCTCACCAGGCACTGTCCTTGTTGGTTCAGTGCTGTTGGTCACTGCTGGCTGGGTCTCAGCTGCCAGCTCAGGTGATTTGGGCCCACAAGCAGCTCCTCAGGCAGCTTTGCAGGAGGCCAAGGTTCGCTGGAAGGGTGGAAAAACAAACCAAGCTGAAGGGCAGGGCTGGTCTGTGCCCACTGCAGGACACGGGGCTGGCAGAGGAGAGAGGTTGGGCTGCTGAGCTCTGCGTTTCCAAGGAGCAGGCAAGACTCCACCATCCCACCTGCTCCACCCACATCAGTCTTGCTCAACCTGCTTGTCAGGAGTGGGCAGGAGTCCTTCTGCATTGCCTCCCTTCTGCCCCGAAACTGTATCAGGGAGAGAAACTGCCTGTAATTTATCCCGGGGTGGACAGTGGGGAGTCAGTGCTTTGGAAAGGTGTTCCAGGGGGGATTGAGAAGATGCCAGCCAGCACTAGTGTCAGGTTACCTCTTCACTCCATCAGGAAAGATGGGATCAATTGGATTTTTCATGGCAGTGCTCACAGAGGCTGTTTGGAAGGGGAGATTACAGGGTGTGTGTACATAACTCCTGTCTCCTGCAAGTGTGACATGGACCAAGTACCTCGGCTTTCAAGAGAAGGATCTGTTTGGTGAACACCACAAAATCATGTTTTAATTTCAGCTTGTTTCCATGTCAATGCAAGCAAATATAGTTCCTGTTGCTGTAGCTGGGTAATGGTCTTTGTGGAAAAAAACACAGTGTGACCTAAGGCAGCATCTGCAGCTGACACTGAGGAGCTGTCTGTGCATCCAAGAAACCAACTACTGGAATCAACAGCAGGATCAACACAGTAGATCTTCAAGAAGTCTAGAATTATAACCATAATAATCAGAATAATATAAAAATTGCTCTATTTCTGACTGCCTGGTTTAGGGCTCCATAGATCTCTGTGGAGCAGAAGTGTTCTGGTTACCTTCAGGAAGCTGTTCCATGGGTTGATGAGCAGTGAAGAAACCCATAAAAAAATCTTTGGAGAGTGATGTGACACAGCAGGGATTTGTTCATACAGGAGACTATTTTCTTCTCCCACCTCACACTGCCTACACAGGCTGGATTTCTCTCTGGAGCTGGGGTCGGGTGAGCCTTGGTTTTCTGTCTATGGCAA